GATGTACAAACACAGCAAGAAAATTATTTGAAAAGAAAATGGAAACTTTTAATAAGAATGCATTTGAATTCAATTTACACAGATATTTTTTTGATTACACACAGATATTTTCTTCATTACGCTTACTACATGAATCATGTTAAATATGATAATTCTTCATGAATTTTCAAGGCATGGTCAAGGATTAATTGTCATGTTCACCACCAATTCTCTTAAATATGGAAATAATTTTCTGGGGAATTTTCAAGGCATGGTCAAGGATTGTTTGTTTGCTTAAGAAGGCAGTGATGAACATCTGTGGAGGAATGTCTATCACAAATTCCCAAGCCACATATCCACAATGAAAGGAGTCTTTCAATCAGGGTGTGCAGAGAAGTCAAGGCAGGGGAAGAACAACTGAAAATCTCCTGCAGCAAGAAGATGTAAACCAGTCAAGGATTGTTTGTTTGCAAAAGAAGGCAGTGATGAACATCTGTGAAGGAAAGTCATGTCAACACAACTCTCTACAAAATGCCTTCTATCCATCACCTCTTAATTCTCAAGGAAAAAGAACCATGACTACAGTGTACATAAAACCAAACCACATGCTCTCCACCCTCAAAATCGTACAGATACTTTTGAAGTTGTAGTGAAAGACCTTTTGATAGTTGCAGTACAGACTATCATGCACAATACTGTTCATTATTTGTGTCATTCTGGCAATCTCAGGGTGTGCAGGGAAGTCAAGGCAGGGGAAGAACAACTGAAAATCTCCTGCAGCAGGAAGATGAAAACCAGTCAAGGATTGTTTGTCTGCATAAGGCGGCAGTGATGAACATCTGTGAAGGAATGTCTATCACAAATTCCCAAGCATATCAACAATGAAAGGAGTCTTTAATCTCAGGGTGTGCAGGGAAGTCAAGGCAGGGGAAGAACAACTGAAAATCTCCTGCAGCAGGAAGATGAAAACCAGTCAAGGATTGTTTGTCTGCATAAGGCGGCAGTGATGAAAATCTGTGAAAGAAATGTCATGTCAACACAACTCTCTACAAAATGCCTTCCATTCATCACCTCCTAATTCTAATGGAAGAACCATGACTAAATTGTACATGAAACCAAACCACATGCTGTCCAACCTCAAAATCGTACCGAATACTGTTCTATATTTGTGACATTGTACTTGTGGGGATCTCATCCATGTGTTTATCACAAAATCCCAGGCAAGGGAAGAAGAATTGAGTAATGTTCCACATTTGTGACATTCTGCTAGTTGTGGGGATCTCACCAAAGATATTTTGCTTTGTGCCAATGTTGAATGTATATCTCCATCTCATCAGTCTGATGCCTAAACACAGCCAGAAAGTTATTTCAAAATAAAATGGAAACTTTTAATAAGAATGCATTTGAATTCAATTTACACAGATATTTTCTTCATTACGTTCACCACATCAATCCTGTTAAATGTGATAATTCTTCATGAATTTTCGAGGCATGGTCAAGGATTAATTGTCATGTTCACCACTTAAATTCTCTTAAATATGGAAATAATTTTTGGGGGAATTTTCAAGAAATGATCAAGGATTGTTTGTCATGTTCAGCACATCAATTTTCTTAAATATGGAAATTCTTTGTGAATTTTCAAGGCATGGTCAAGGATTGTTCCTCTGCATACAATTGGCAGTGATAAACATCTGTGAAGGAATGTCTATCACAATTCCCAAGCATATGCACAATGGAAGAAGACTCTGAATCTCAGGGTGTGCAGGGTAGTCAAGGCAAGGGAAGAAGAATTGAGTACTGATTTGTGACATTCTGCTTGTGGGGGATCTTATGTGAGATGTTTTGCTTCGTGCTCATGCTAAACATTAACCTTCATCTCAGTCTGATTGATGCACAAACACAACAAGAAAATTATTTCAAAACAAAATGTAAGCTTTCAATGAGAATGCATTTAAATTCTTTTACACACATATTTTTATGATTACACAAAGATATTTTCTTCATTATACGCTCACTACATAAATCATTTTAAATATGATAATTCTTCACGAATTTTTAAGACATGGTCAAGCATTAACTGCTTGTCATGTTCAGCACATCAATAATATTAAATATGGAAATTCTTCATGAATTTTTAAGATATGCTCAAGGATTGTTTGTCTATAGATAAGAAGGCCCTGATGAACATCTGTTGAGGAATGTCTATCACAAATTCCCAAGCTGTATGTGTATGCACAATAAAAAGGAGTCTCTCAATCTCAGGGTGTGCAGGGTAGTACCCCCATAAATGTGGCCAATTTACTGGACTTCCTCTGTAAATAAGGCCACACTCACACTATGAACAAAAACATGTCAAACTTTGTGAAATTGTGATTTTCACATAAATTTATGCTGATAGTTTGTAATTAACTTTTGCTTGAGAAGCATATACTCAACCTCTGTACAGGCTAATCAGAAAGTGCTGCCTTTTTCAGAGGTCTAATATGCATGTAAGTTTCATGTTGAAATGTTGATATACAAACATTAATTGTGCAAACGAATCTCAAAATTTCATGAAAAATACACATCTACAAACTAAGCCTCGATCATTGTCAAAATCAACATTTGACAAAGTTTGACATGTTTTTGTGCATGGTGTAAATGTGCCCTTTATTTACAGAGGAAGTCCAGTAAATTGGCCACATTTATGCAGCTAGGTATTGAAGGCAAGAAGAATTGAAAATCTCCTTCAGCGCAAAGATGAAAAACAGTCAAGGATTGTTTGTCTGCATAAGGCGGCAGTGATTAACATCTGTGAAAGAATGTCTATCACAAATTCCCAAGCTGTATGTACATATCCACAATGAAAGGAGTCTCTCAATCTCAAGGTGTGCAGGGTAGTCAAGGCAAGGGAAGAAGAATTGAGTACCGATTTGTGACATTATATAAATCATGTTAAATATGATAATTCTTCATGAATTTTCATGGCATGGTCAAGGAGAAATTGTCATGTTCAGTACATAAATCCTCTTAAATTACATAGTCTTTGTGAATTTTCAAGGCATATGGTCAAGATTGTTGTCTGCATAAGAAGGCAGTGATGAACATCTGTGAAGGAATGTTTATCACAAATTCCCAGGCAAGGCAAGAAGAATTGTCCATATTTGTGACATTCTGCTAGTTATGGGGATCTCAACAAAGATATTTTGCTTTGTGCCAATGTTGAATGTATATCTCCATCTCATCAGTCTGATGCACAAACACAGCAAGAAAATTACTTGAAAAGAAAATGTAAACTTGAATTCAATTTACACAGATATTTTTTTGATTACACACAGATATTTTCTTCATTATGCTTACTACATGAATCATGTTAAATATGATAATTCTTCATGAATTTTCAAGGCATGGTCAAGGATTAATTGTCATGTTCACCACCAATTCTCTTAAATATGGAAATAATTTTCTGGGGAATTTTCAAGGCATGGTCAAGGATTGTTTGTCTGCTTAAGAAGGCAGTGATGAACATCTGTGAAGGAATGTCTATCACAAATTCCCAAGCTGTATATACATATCCACAATGAAAGGAGTCTCTCAATCTCAGGGTGTGCAGAGAAGTCAAGGCAGGGGAAGAACAACTGAAAATCTCCTGCAGCAAGAAGATGTAAACCAGTCAAGGATTGTTTGTTTGCATAAGAAGGCAGTGATGAACATCTGTGAAGGAATGTCTATCACAAATTCCCAAGCTGTATGTACATATCCACAATGAAAGGAGTCTTTCAATCTCAGGGTGTGCAGAGAAGTCAAGGCAGGGGAAGAACAACTGAAAATCTCCTGCAGCAGGAAGATGAAAACCAGTCAAGGATTGTTTGTCTGCATAAGGCGGCAGTGATGAACATCTGTGAAGGAATGTCTATCACAAATTCCCAAGCATATCAACAATGAAAGGAGTCTTTAATCTCAGGGTGTGCAGGGAAGTCAAGGCAGGGGAAGAACAACTGAAAATCTCCTGCAGCAGGAAGATGAAAACCAGTCAAGGATTGTTTGTCTGCATAAGGCGGCAGTGATGAACATCTGTGAAGGAAAGTCATGTCAACACAACTCTCTACAAAATGCCTTCTATCCATCACCTCTTAATTCTCAAGGAAAAAGAACCATGACTACAGTGTACATAAAACCAAACCACATGCTCTCCACCCTCAAAATCGTACAGATACTTTTGAAGTTGTAGTGAAAGACCTTTTGATAGTTGCAGTACAGACTATCATGCACAATACTGTTCATTATTTGTGTCATTCTGGCAATCTCAGGGTGTGCAGGGAAGTCAAGGCAGGGGAAGAACAACTGAAAATCTCCTGCAGCAGGAAGATGAAAACCAGTCAAGGATTGTTTGTCTGCATAAGAAGGCAGTGATGAAAATCTGTGAAAGAAATGTCATGTCAACACAACTCTCTACAAAATGCCTTCTATCCATCACCTCTTAATTCTCAAGGAAAAAGAACCATGACTACAGTGTACATAAAACCAAACCACATGCTCTCCACCCTCAAAATCGTACAGATACTTTTCAAGTTGTAGTGAAAGACCTTTTGATAGTTGCAGTACATATGACTATCATGCACAATACTGTTCGTACATTTGTATTCTGCTTGTGAGGATCTCACCAAAGATGTTTTGCTTTGTGCCAATGATGAACATTTACCTCCATCTCATCAGTTTAATACACAAGTACAGCAATAAAATTATTTCTAAACAAAATGTAAACCTTCAATAAGAATGCATTTGAATTCTTTTAAAAAGACATTTTCTTCATTACACTCACCACATAAATCCTGTTAAATATGATAATTCTTCATGAATTTTCAAGGCATACTGTAGTCAAGGATTAATTGTCATGTTCAGCACATAAGTCCTCTTAAATATGGAAATTCTTTGTGAATTTTCAAGGCATGATCAAGGATTGTTGTCTGCATAAGAAGGCAATGATAAACATCTCTGAAGGAATGGCTATCACAAATTCCCAACTTGTATGTGTATGCACAATGGAAGGAGCCTCTGAATCTCGGGGTGTGCAGGGTAGTCAAGACAAGGTAAGAAGAATTGAGTACTGTTGCATATTTGTGACATTCTGCCTGTGGGGATCTCACCAAAGATATTTAGCTTTGTGCCAATGATAAATGTGTACCTCCATCTCATCAGTCTGATGCACAAATACAGCAAGAAAATCATTTCAAAACAAAATGCAAACTTTCAATGACAATGCATTTGAATTCTTTCATACAGGTATATTTTCATGAATACACAGATATTTTGTTGATCAATTAAAGTAGAGTCTGAATGACACATAGTTCTATAATGATACTGCAAAAGTGCATACATGTACATGTATGTATCTAGATCTGTTCACCTGTTACTGTCATTAAAACATTTCGCATACCTAATTTTTAAGTTCAAATTATTTGATAATGAAGCTTATCCATGGGCAATTTGTCAAAATAATATTGCATTGCAAAACTCACAACTAATATAATAATATAAAAAATTGTTCAGTTAATTTGAAAGTACACTTTTTGTCAAGTCACACCCAAAAAACAGATACATGTGTACACCAACTTCAAAATGTTTTTGTAATTTGTTATTTTGTGATGGCATATGGTTGTCATCTTGTGCATCGATTTTCTGACTGTATCCAGGGTTTTAATACAAGAATCATGTTCTTTACACACAGGAAATATTGCTTGTTCATTTCTAGTGAAAATAACAAGCAATACATGTACTATATTTGAAGATATTACCTCAGCAACATACTTGTTACAAATACGGTGCAGCGGAAGCATAGAAGGATGTCGCATGCAAGACAGGGAGCACAATGATCAACCCAATCCAAAACCTGCAGATTTCAGACAAATAAAAGTATACCAGGATAAATACATACATCAACCTGAACTCTCAATCATCCATACCAATTTTTTTCTGTGATGAAAACAAGAATCACTCCACGTAATTTTAAAATCACAGGCGTGTAAGGAAATACACACCTCAATTATTCTCAACAGGTGATTTTTCTAGATGTATGATTTTAATACCAGTATCTTTCTGTAGTTCAACCTGATATTAAACAATCTCGTATAATTCTGGACTTATGACATTCATCTTACTTTTTTTTTCTCCACTAACATACTGGTACATGTCCTTTTTTATTTCAATCATAAAATATAATTATGCCGTAAATATGACAATTTATACCATGTTGTGCAGTGCAGGTGTGCAATTATTTGTACATGTATTTCTCAGAAAGCTTTTAGGCATATAGCGTGTGCGTGCCATCACACCATCCAAAATGAGTGGGACTGAAGATTATATTTGTAGCAATTAATCAAACAGTAGAAGCTTAATAGATTCACAAAAATATTTTTCATTAAAGTACCCAAAGTGATGTCACTAAAAGCAATGACTTCCGGAAGAATGCAAAACCATTAATCTATACCCAAGATGCGGTAAAATCTATGCCCAGAATACAGTATGTAACCTACAAAACAGAAGGTTCACTGTATGGATAGTGTATATTTCAATGCAGATAAATTAATATGCACATTCATTACAAACCTGATGTAAAATAGAAGACTTTCAAAGCCTTATCACAGTCAAAACAGAAATGGAATTTGATCAAGCCTGTTATTTGTAAATAAAAACTTATGTCATACAACAGTCAACTGACAATACATGTACTTTACCGTCAACTTCTTCCAGACAATGATCTGTCTATCAGCCAAGCCATCAAGTTGTGAAAAATGGTTCAACTTGATCAGTTCAATTAGTCTCGTTCCATCTGAAAGAATCTTGTTCCAGATGAAAACATACTTGCTCCAGCCCAAGCAAAAATAACTCGTCTGCAAGCAAAAAAAGTTTGATTGTGACAGGAAAAAAACAATTCTGCTGCATGGAAGATGCAGTGGCGTCGCCAAGGGGGGGCCAGGGGGGGCACGTGCCCCCCCTGGAAAACCTAGTGCCCCCCCGAGTGCCCCCCCCATCTGAGATTTGTTGGTAAAAAAATATATATATATTTTGTTATATTCAACTCCCATCATCTGAGTTGGTTTTTCATAAGGACAAAGAAGCACAGTAATTCGTATTTTCTTCAAATGAGCATCAAATGTGGCACCATTTTGCATCTAGCCCATCCTCCGTATGCGAAAATTTTCCAAAGGGGAGGGGGGCACCCCCTCCCCTTAGACCCCTCCCCCAGGACGGCGATCCGTATCCACCTAAGTGCCCCCCCCCCCCCCATCAAATGCTGGTGCCCCCCTGTGCCCCCCCAGACTGAAAAGTCTGGTGACGCCACTGGGAAGATGGTCTTGCTTTACACTGAAAAAGAAGTCTGGCTTTAACAAAAAAGAGTCTGCCTCCACAAAATAATTATGTGGCTGAGTGTACACAAAAACAAGTTCCCTTTAGTTCAGAACAGTCGGTTTCCACATCAAGCCATGTCTCATCAATGATGTCTAAACACCAGAAGCATCAAACACAGAAACGTTGTAGTTCATTCACCAGATCAGAGACAATAAATCAACCAGCATCCCAGAAAAACCAATCTTATTCCCAGTTTTGAATTGAAAATTCTTTAGTATGACATCATCAAAAGTCATATTAAGACAACTCTGCACAAAATGCCTTCTATCTATCACCTCTTAATTATATAGGAAGAACCGTGACTAAAATGACTATGACTACATGAAATCAAACCACATGCTGTCCAATCTCAAAATCGTATCAATACTTTTGAAGTTGCAGTAAACAGTTTTTCCATAGTTGCAAGACTGACTCTCATGTTCTATATTTGTGACATTCTGTTTGTGAGGAACTTACCCAAGATGTTTTGCTTTGTGCCAATGATAAATGTGTACCTCCATCTCATCAGTCTGATACACAAACACTGCAAGAAAATCATTTCAAAACAAATGTAAGCTTTCAATGAGAATGCATGTTAATTCTTTTACACAATTTCATCAGTCGAACGCGTGTGGAAAAGGCACATCTGGATGTTTCTAAGTGTGTGATTTTCTAGGTGTGTGATTCTGTGGTCCAGGGAAATTCAGGCGTGCAATTATTCACACTTCTCGAGAACTTTTAGAACTGTGCGATGGTATGGGGGTGTGATCACACGCCTCAAATCAGAAGAACTGTTTCATGATTACACAGATATTTTCTTAATCATGTTCACCACATAAATCCTGTTTAAATATGGAAATTTTTCATGAATTTTTCAAGCACATCACCTACATGTACATGAAACAATACCTTTGAAATATCCTGTAATTATTATTATGGCAACTGTAATGTAACTTTCCATTACTATTATACTACAGTAATAGATTGTGATTTGTAACTGGTCGAGAACTGTGAATGCAAAACCAACCATACAAAGTCTGCCACAAATACAAATGTACTGTTTCAGGGGTGTACAGGTACCGGTATACTCGGTTTACATGAGTGATGGGTGATGAGTGATGTACTTCACAGGGTACATTACTTTAATTATCCCTTCTCTTAAAAGTGAACTTTATCACTGCCCTGTAAAGCTTGTATAATATAGAAATAGCCCAAGTAAGAAGCTTCAGGCAAGCATGTACAATGTATACACATGAACATTGTACACATGTCACATGAACACTCACACATACATGTAGATGAAGGTCACACCTATAACTGCTATATAAAAGGGCAGGGATTAATGGATTGGTCTTTTCTGTGAAAAGGTAAATTAATTTGTGTTGGCTTGCAATAAAAAAAACATGTCTTTTTGAAAATACATCTAATACTTTCAAGAATAAACAGCAACTGAAAGAAACCCACAATTTCACACAGTCACAATCTTTTACCATGATATAACATGACAATATCAAAATATGAGTTGCAAATTTAGCCAAAATTCCTTTTCTACAGATTTTATCAAAAAGATCTTTGTCAATCAAAAAACTTACATTGTCCATTTCAAAATGCGCTTCCTCAGAATAAAAACATATTTGAGTTATCCAAAAGAGGTAGATTTTTATTTGAAGCAATCCGGAACTACGAACAATGCGGAACTGGGAAAACGATGGTACATGTATAGTACATGTACTTAGACTGGCTTCTAATACTAGTACTAGTACCAGAACAGTAATACTGTCATGAAACTAGAGTCTAAACATTAGACGGCTATTACTCACTTCATAAAAGTGCATGTACATGTATGTTTGTAAGTACAAAATTACCACAATTTTAACTTAGCAACAATACTACATGAAGTAGTATCTTGTTAAGAATTCCATATTGGGCCACCAAGTCAAACTTCCTCCACAAAGTCTATGCGCCATGGTAGAAAAAGTAAAAAAAAACAGTTTACACTTCTGACATGCCCGCCTGAAATAGTTTTTCTTCATCAGATTTACAACTTTTGGTATTTTTTTCAGGTCATTTTAAGAAATATGAGTGGTGGTCCTGTAAATGTAGTGATGTTCAACATTTACTCTGACCTTCCACATCAGTGTTGCCAAACTTCTTTGTTCACAAACTTCAAATTTATACAGTGAAATACACTTTTACCGTGTTAATACTTGCCATTTAACTTCTGTGAATAGGGCCTACATGTACTTGCTATTTTACTTCTGTGAACTATTTCGGTATCATGAAATTTAATTTAAAAATTGAAAACAGAGGTGTCCGGAAATTAGTGTTACCCAATGCAGCGCACTTGAATACATCTCAGAAAAATAAAAAATAACATTTAACAATTTCTGTAAAGTTGATAAATTCTGATGATTCATTATTATCTCAATTTACATTTCCAACTAGAAATTTATCATCAGAAAATTATTTTCTAATTTTTGTTAAACCTTTTCAAAAGTTCATTGTAGCCTACACTTCATAATACAATTGGAACATCACGGCAAAACAGATTTTTCTTTTACCTTAACTTTGTAACAGGTACATAAATGTGTGATTTATCAACAGAAGTGTTAATAAGTAGATGAAATTTCACTTTCTGTAAAATTTCAGTTAAAACTTTTGCTCTAACTAGGCATTAGTTAGCTGTGCCATGCCATGTTAC